AAGTCTCATGGCCAGTGAATTTGCTGATGTTCTACAAGGACCTCTTGTTCTCCCTGTTGGTCTATTCCCCGGGCAAACTCTTATTCATCCTTCAGTTATCAACTCAAAGGTCACCTCCTCTTTGAAACCTTTTGGTGTTTGCCTTAGTTACTTTTTTTCTCATTGCTCAGACAAAATACTTGATGTCCAAGATTAAGGGAAGAAAGGTTTATGTAGCTCACTGTTTGCAGAGGTTTTAGTCCATTTAGCTGGCTCCAAGGCAGGGTGGCATGGTGAGGGGCAACAGTTTGTGGTAGTGGAAGATACCAAAAGCAAACAAGAGCAAAAGGGGGAAGCAAGCCTCTTTTCCTCCTTTCTATGCATGCTACCTGCCGTAGGGTGTATGTAGCACTCATACCTCCAATCCCAGCAGTAGACAATGAACCAGTCACATACTCTATAGATCTGGCTCCCTCTGGAAAGCCTGCCCCCATGACTATATGAGGCTCTGGGGAGACATCCAGACACAAACCATAACAGTGTTCTTCAGCGAGCATAGGCTGACCATCTTCTGTTTCCCCAGGGACCTCCAGCTGTCTCAGGAACTAGTCTGCAGTGTTATTGCTGTTTGCATGTGTTTTTCACACCTTGGATGTAAGATCTTGGGAAAGGGACCGTGCCACTGTTTTATTTGTGTAGCACGACGTCCTTTCACAGAGCATCCTTATTTGTTGAGTTCTGTTTATCGATATGAACACAGCAAAGGCCCTGTGATCTTGGTAGCCGGCCCCTCCTTGTGGTCTTGGGGCTCAGCTAAGATGCATGAGTATCTGAGGCAGCCTAGTGATTTCGCATTCTGCCAGCATTTTGTTTTCACTTGTACCATTTTGTAAGAATAAAGAGAATATGAATTTTGAAATGTCTGCTTTCAGAAAGAAATTTTATTACCAATATATTTTCCATTGGTCAAAGTTGGATCAGTGTTCTTTTCAAATAGAAGTCTAAGAGAAATGTTACTCATCCTTCTGTACTTCTTGTCCTCTTTTGTGCATTCAAAAATTAATGTGTGCTTTAAAAAGTAGTGTGATTGGAAACAATCCAAAAATTAAAATTCAGATGCTAAAATATTCCTTTTTTATTTGTTCATAGTGGTAGGGACTGAATCCAGAGCTGTATATATACTAGGAAAGGTACTACTAAGCTACAGCTGCAGGCCTAAATTATTTACTCTTGGTTAACAAACTACATCACTTATTCTTTATTACCAAATATTTTAGCAGACAATCAACTTTTAGCTGATTGTCCACAAAATAATAAGGATCTGGGTACAGAAAGCTGAGTTACCTAGAAATGATTTCCTACTGATTCTAGCAATGTGTTAGTGCTCTTTGTAGACTGGTACGTGAGGTGTAACCGACCAGCCCTCCTATTCTGACCACATGGAATTTCATTTCCTGATGCACAAAATAAAATTTCCCCCAGTAATTCTAAGGTTCCTTCCCACTCTAACATTCTTCGATTATATGGCTTTATCTGTATGGAAACATAAGATGGCTATTTAAATGTTTTGATACCTCACAGGCAATCTAAAATTTAGAAGATGTCATCACAGAGTGTGGTTTCTATTTAAAGGTCATTTTCATTTAAGATCTCTCTTTTAGTCATTCCTATTTTTCTTTGGGTGACCCAACTCAAATTTTTGCTACATGAAAGGCTTCATATGAACGCATATGATGTAAGATATTTTTAGCCAGAAATCCATATGCTCTATAAAGGGGGAAAGAGCCTTTTAGTATAAATCAGTAATATGGTACTTAGAGAGAGTAAAAAGAAAACAAAGCTTGAGAATTGCATCTAATTTCCTTCTCTCCATTTTCTCACATAATGCATCTTTTGCAGTTACAAATATAGGACTCATTTCTAGGGGACTAGAGAAACATGTGGAATCTCTGAGAAGAAATAACAAAAACACTAAGTTAAATGGTGTGCAGAGTAGAGAAAGCTGGAACAAAATGACACGTTTTGAGAGATGGATGGCATCTTCAAACACATCACACTTATAGTATCCGTGAAGCTTGGACCAATTTAAGGTGCCATATTTGATAGATTCCTGGAGAACTGAAGAGAAACTAAGTTGCTATTGTTGTTTTTCTCCCCTGCACTCAGTTTTAAAGCTTTATTACTTTTGGGAAGATAAATTTCTTCTTTTAGCATTATCTATCTCCTTCTATAAGATATATTACTGTAGTCCCTGGCCATTTGGGAGCCAATAACAGTTATTTCTATTCTGACTTCCTCCTGACCTTACAATGAATGCTTTCAGGCAACAATCTTAAGAAAACAGGAGTTGAAGTGGTGCTATAGAAACCCAGGCTGTGGAGCTGGAGAGGGTCTCCGACAAAAGCATGCTGTGGCTGTGCTCCTGCTCTGCGCTCAGTGTCCTGGGAAACCTAAGGAGACGCAGGCAGAAGGGGTCTCTGCGGGAGGAAGGACCATGTCACTCTACCTTGGACTTCCCAGCCAGCCAGCTGTGCGCCAGGAACAGACCCTGCAGCCTTAGGTTTAATAACGTAGTGAGATCTTACGACAATGAGGCACCCTCAGTGCCTCACTGCTTAACTTGGCATGAAGCCCTTAATCTTCATTTCTTTCTCTTCTGCAGGCTGAGGAGATGAACCAGGAAATGGCAAGGGGCTCTTTCAGTTGGGAACATTCTGTCTTTTCAAGACACCACACCCAACAATAAAGTGATGTGTATTTCTCTCTCAACTGCCTGATTGTGTTGTCCATTGATTTGAGAAAATTCAACATAAACAAGAATCTTGAATTTTATTTTATTTTATTTTGTTTTATTTTTTGAGACAGGGTCTCACTATGTAGTTCATGCTAGTCTTGAACCTAGCACATAGCATGGGCTGGCCTTGAACTTGCAGCAATCCTCCTGCCTCAGCCTCTCAAATGCTGAGATTACAGGAGTACACCACCCCACCACACTTGGTTAGAATCTTGAATTTTAAAAAAAAAATTTAAAGAATTGGTATTTGTGCTGTCAAAGTACCTTTTCCCTTAGATATATTAATTAGCTAATTAATTTTTTACTTTTAGTGCTACTTAGGGTTGAACTCAGGGCTTCCACACTGAGCTACAACTTTGATGTTTTTCTCTTTTCTTTTCTTTTTTTCCTTTCCTGTCCTTTCCTTGCCTTGCCTTTCCTTTCCTTTCCTTTCCTTTCCTTTCCTTTCCTTGCCTTGCCTTGCCTTGCCTTCCTTTTCCTTTCCTTTCCTTGCCTTTCCTTTCCTTTCCTTGCCTTTCCTTGCCTTGCCTTCCTTTTCCTTTCCTTTTCCTTTCCTTTCCTTTCCTTTCCTTTCCTTTCCTTTCCTTTCCTTTCCTTTCCTTTCCTTTCCTTTCCTTTCCTTTC